TTGAAATAATTGTTTTATTTAAAAATATTTTTTAGACTGTGTTTAGAGTCGCCACTTAATTTTTTAAGAAAAATCAAGAAAACTATTGTTTTCAAAAGACAAACAGAAATCTAATGAAAACTTAAAAGGGGATCGAGGTTCTTACTAGCATTTCGGGAAGGGATTTAAAGCACCGAAAATGCCCGCTAACACACGATTATCCGGCGATTAATTATTCGGCTAAAATAATTTTAACTAAGCTTAACTTGCAAAATTGAATTATTTCGTTAGTTAAGATCATTTTTAAGGGAGAGAAAAAAAATGTTGAAATATTATCTAAGCAAAATATTTTGTAAACTTATTTATTTTTTAAGTCAAACAAAGACGAATAACTTAGTTAAGTGATTAATTCAAAAAATGAGTGTCTTTCGGGGATTTGAATTTTTCGACCCTAAGATTAATTTTTCAACAAATAAGCATATGATATCAGTCAAGTAAATAGGGAAAGAGAATTTGGACCCAAGTCTGGATCTGTCCGCCTGTGCCAGTATTTGGGCCTAATGTCATTTCGAGGCCTTTGGCCTATTTGCCATTTGTACCTGTCCTAAGCTGACAAGAAAAATATAATAATAAACTTTTCCTAGGGCCTTAGGCCCAATCTTCCACTTGTCCAAAACTCTAACAAAATAATTATGAAAATAACAAGGGCTTAGGCCCAAAATAACAAAATACAACCTTTTCGAAATAAAGAGTGGGCCTTTGGCCCAATTTTTCGACTCTCCAATCTGTTGCATATTCTTCCAGGACCTGTTCGTCAATTCTTGATAGGTTGGCCGACTCGAAAGGAAGGGTTTGATCCTTGGTGGCTCTCTCAAAATGCAAAGGAAGGAAATAGGAGTTCATGAAGAACTCGGGCATATTTTACATGCAACAAAAGCAATGAGAAGATAAGGATTAATAAACCATAATAGAAATATAATACACTTAAACAAATCATAGCCGTCCTTCGCAAATAACTCTATCGAATTGAAATGACATAGATCAACAAAACGAGCATATGATTCAAAACAACACAAAATCAATCCCAAACAACTATAACCCGATTCGAACGTCTAATTGTGACGGAGTATAGATAACATATTGATCAACCAGAAATCTCAATAACAAAGGGGAATAAACCACGAACATTCATATTCAAACTAAGCAAGAGTGAAGCCAAGAAGAACCCAACAGAGATAGATTTAACACATAACATTCGGGACCGAAATGAAATGTAAATAAAGGAGGAGGTATTACCTCTTCCTGGGAAGCTAAATTGAGGCTACGAGCAGAGCAACGAGATCCCTCCACCAACAGCAACTTAAAACCTTTTATATACTTATATTTTCTTATCCCTTGCTATACTATTTATTTCTATCCCTCTTTTAATGAACAATCACCCCCCTTACAACGAATAAGAAATGGGGTATTTATGGGCGTAATCTAGGGTTTCGGAATGGGGGGAAAACGGAAAAATCCCAATAGGAATTGGACCCAATCCAAATTCAAACTTCAAATCTTTCACTAATTTGGTGAGACACCTTTTCTTTGCAGATTCAACCCATTCCGAAAGTGGAAATGGTGAGATAGACGGCTAGGATCGACTCAAATGTCCTCGCTATGCCGCGTGGCTTGATCTGAAGATGCGAGGATAAAAACGCGTGACTTTGGAGAAAACGACAAGGAAATCACAGTGTACTGGGTTTGTACGCGTATTGACACCGTGTATCCCCGTCCTATTGCTGTGAATTCGAACGTCTCCACTTTGAACTGGGAAGACGCCGGTTGGAGCCGTTGTATTGTATCTGTTGTTGTTGTCGTCTTATTGAGGGTGCCGTGATTACTGTTGTGTAAATTGTCGGTGTTGCTGCTGGGTCTCTTTTGGGGAATATGTATTGGATTATTAGTGGGTGCATATTGTATTGTTGGGAATTGGTGGGCCGGGTATTGGGAATTGATTGGACTCGGGCCGAAAATAAGAGGGAGTTGGGTCTAAGGGGTTGAAAGGATGGTCTGCTGAAGATAAAAGAGGCCCAAATTTGGTCTTTTGATATGGCCAAGTAAATCACTAATTCATCCACAATGAATTATAATTGGCCAATTTGAGATTACGAACTTAATCAAATTGAACTCATTTACAAATTCGGCTAAATATAAACAAGATGAATTAATATAATTAATTTAGGAGCTTCTCATCTCAACAAAATAAAATAATTAATTCAACTATAAATCAATTGATTTTTAAAATTATCCATAACTTAAACTAAACTAATTTTGATAGAATATTCAAAATAAAATCTTTTGAGATGATTTTCAAATATTTATGAAACATATTGATCATATCTATAAAACTATATGAAATGTATTTGCTATTTATAAATTATGAAAATCGACTAAGATCACTTAAAACTTGAAAATGTTTTTATAAACTAATTATTCTAAATCATTTGCAATCTAAGAAGCTCGAAAATTAATCTCTACCGGGGAGGGTCAAAATTGGGCGTCAACAATAATATATTAAAAGATAAAAACTATGAAAAAGTATAAGAAATATTTAAAAATTATATCAAAGTAAATATTTTTGTGTATAAAATAAAATATTTTAAAATTATATATATAATGTCGGGTTGGTTTGGTCTCGGGTTGTTTTTTTTTAGTTAAAACCAAACCAACCCAAATATAGTCGATTTTTTTTTCCAATACCAAACCAAGTCAAACCAATCACTAGTCGAGTTTTTTTCTCGATTTGTGATTTGATTCGGTTTTTGATTCGGTTTTATACACCCCTACTCAAAATCATACAGGGGGGTCAAGGACCTCTAATACCCCCGATGTAAGATTCCAACAGTCTATATACAAGTTCAGTTATATACTCCGTAACTTTTGTTCAAATAATATATTAATATTAAGAACTTCATCAAATATATATATACTAAATTTAAAAACCAGTTATTAAAACCTGAAATTATTATTCAAATTCTGAACCCATAAATTTAAAATGTTGGCGCTACCTCTGAACCCATTAAATCAAGAGATCAAATAGGACGTGATATATAATTTCAAACTTGAGCCCCTTATGTCCTAACAAAAATGAATTCAATATTTAAAGTTTATGAGTTTTTATAAGAACTTCAAGTTGATACTATAAATCTACAATGATAATTAGGTTCCTGATCAAATATTTATATATATATATATATATATATCCAACCTTCTAGATCTGCGACCGCAATAATACCCTAAATATGTGTCTATCCATTGTGAATTTGGTTGTATTATGCGCAGTAGAAGACGTATATATCCAAGTTTGCAAACGTTTTTCATATAAACTTATCTAACTAATCTAAAGATAGATAACATAATTGATGCGTGTCTAATTTTGCCAAATTCTTTATATGCGCTAAACCTATTTACGTAATGAGCGCTTTATAAATATATGGAGAAACTTACTGAAATATGAGCCAAAAAGGTCTAATAATCTATCGTAAATTCAGGTGTTCAATTGAAGTAGACAAAGTTATAATTCGAACATCTACATCAAATTTACTAAAAAAATTAAAGGAAAATTTATAATTGAACTAATTAATTCTACCACTCAGTAAATAATTGCAAAAAATAATAATTTAAGCTTAAAAAATGAAAATTTATACGTAACCACTATTTGTTCAAGAAGATAATTATAAAACTACAAGGTATTAAAGTTTTGTATCTTACTAAAAACAATGCGTTAGGAGATAATTACTACTTTCTTAAAGAACATAAATTAAAAAAACCAAAAAATTCTATGCATATCCAAAATTGTTCGGCTAAATCTGATATGGGCCCAGAGGCGGAATCATGTGGAAAGGTCGGGTATATGGGTATCCGTTAACTTTAAAAAGTTATGTATATTATGTATTAAGTGTGGTAAAATCAAATTTAACTCGTTCAAACCATTCAATCCGTTATCTAGCCTGTTTTGACCCAAGCAATTTGAGTTGAGTTGAATCTTGACTCGATTAATGTCTTAATTCATTGTAACCCACTCAAATTTAATCTAAACTCTGAAGACAATCATATATTTTAAAAGTACGCTCTAGCCCTTGGAGCTCGGGCACGTGATCTGAGTTGGAGTCCTGACTATGTTATTCTTTATGTCATTTAATTTATATGTTAGTACTATCTCAATTTTATGAGTATTTACACAAACTTTTAGATGAGATGATAATATATTTGATATTGCTTCAACTAATATAATGTATATATATATTTTTATGATGTATCATTATCTTCAAATATGAATCTGGCTCTGCATGGTGGTGAATCCTTTGGATCGTAATAATGCATACGATGACAGAGTTTGCTCAAGACTAGCTTTATTTTATTACATTAAAATCACTAAATTATCTTTTGTAATGGATAAGTCATCAGACACCTTTTACTGAAGTATCATGAAACGTTAATAAAATATTTTTAATTTATTTTTATAGAAAGTCATTGATTTTGTTTAAATATCATACAAAGTGTCTCAATTTCTGCGATACTTAGATGAGAATTCGTGATATTTCTATAGTAAAAAAATAATTTAGTAATTTTCATGATACACTTAGGTGTATTTGAGCAACTTTTTCTATAGAAAATCATTTTGTAACTTTTGTACAATAGAGTGAAAATTATTTTACTATCTATGAAACTCTACTTGCTTTGCTCTCATATGAAATTGTGTGACTATTCATCTAAAAACTTAATTGTATAAAAATAATATATTTTTATTTACTTAATTATATTATCAACACTAAGAAGTCGTATTTAAGCAGAAAGTCTAGAACATTTAAAAAGGTTATGTCATTGCATACTTATACATCTTTAAGATTAAATTGTGATGTCATTCTCAAATATCACTACATTCAATTGAACAAAAAAATGTGTATAAGAGCAACTCAATAGAAGATCTATTTATAGGTTACATTTGAAGTTGCATTTGGCAGTGACACAACAAAACCATGATGTTCTTTATATTTTTAGTAGCTTTTCCTATTATTCTGTTTTTTCTTCTTCACAAAACCAAAATAAGTAGAAATACCAATCTACCACCAGGTCCTTTAGGTTTGCCAATCATTGGAAATTTGCATCAATATGATAGTGTAACTCCTCATATCTATTTTTGGAAACTTTCTAAAAAATATGGAAAAATATTCTTATTGAAATTTGGTTCTACTCCAGTAGTTGTAATTTCTTCAACAAAATTAGCAAAAGAAGTAATGAAGACACAAGATTTAGCTTTTTGTAGTAGACCCTCTACTCTTTGCCAACAAAAATTGTCTTACAATAGTCATGACATAGTGTTTTCACCTTATAATGACTATTGGAGAGAAATTAGAAAACTTTGTTTACTTCATTTATTTAGTCTCAAGAAAGTACAATCTTTTAGTCCGATTCGTGAAGATGAAGTCTCAAGAATGATCAAGAAAATATCTCAACAAGCTGCCGCTTCACAAATTACCAATTTGAGCAATATAGTGATTTCACTTACAACTACAATTATTTGTAGAGTTGCTTTTGGTATTAGGTTTGATGAAGAAGCACATGAAAAGAGGAGATTTGATGAACTTATAAATGAGTCTCAAGATATTCTGGCTAGCTTCTTTGTCTCTGATTTTTTTTCTTCTTTAAGTTGGATTGATAAACTTACTGGATTGAAAAACAAACTTGAGAAGAATTTCAAGTGTTTGGATGAATTTTATGAAGAACTCATTGAGCAACATCGCAATCCCAATAGGCCAAAATCCATGGAAGGAGATATGATTGATATTTTGCTACAATTGAGGAAGGAGCAATCAACTCAAATCAATCTCACTTTGGACAACATAAAAGCAATTCTCATGGTAATTAATTATCTTAAATGTATATATGATTAACAATTTGAATTTTAAATAAAATACATATCTCTCATCTCTGTTATTTTCCTGTTAACTTAAAATGTTTTTGGTAGAATTTATTTCTTGCTGGGACAGACACTAGCGCAATTACAGTAATTTGGGCCATGACTGCCTTGATGAAGAACCCGGAAGCCATGAAGAAAGTTCAAGAAGAAGTTAGAAAATCAATGGGGAAAAAAGGCATTGTAAATGAAGATGATACTCAAAATATGTCTTATCTCAAAGCGGTAATAAAAGAGACATTTAGATTGTATCCACCAGCTCCAATCCTAGTGGCAAGAGAGACAATGCAAAATTCAATACTAGAAGGGTATAATATTCCACCAAAAACAACAATTCGTGTAAACTATTGGGCTATTGCAAGAGATCTTGAGTATTGGAAAAATTCAGAAGAATTTATACCCGAGAGATTCTTGAATAGTAACATTGATTTCAAGGGTCAAGATTTTGAATTTATCCCATTTGGAGCAGGGCGGAGAGGTTGCCCAGGTATTCAATGTCGAATATATATATATATATATATAAATTCATACAATTATAAGTTCAATTGAACTCACAATTGTTATATAGAATTTTCACATAGACTATACATGAAAAATATGAAAATTAAGTACTGGTAGAAATATAGTTTTTATCATATTTTCAAAAAAAACTCAAAATTTTGAATTCGTCTCTCTACAGGTCAAGCACTTGGTGTTGCAACAGTGGATCTTTTACTATCAAACCTTCTATATGCATTTGATTGGGAGTTGCCTTTTGGGATGAACATAGAAGATATTGACACAGAGAGTTTACGCGGAATTACTATGCATAAGAAAAATGATCTTTGCCTTGTCCCTAAAAATTATATGTAGACTATTTTAGTGATATGCGGAATAGAATGTAGAATAAAAATATGAATATTAGGAAGAGTGTTTCCCCCTTTCCAATTCTTATAAGTAGTAATGTAATTGCCTTTTTTGAGATGAATATTATAAAAGCTTATGTTTAATTTTTTAAAATTATGTTTTGAACAATATTTGCTATTGATGAGTAGTTTGGCCTATTTTTGTTTAATAAGCACTCAAAAGGGTATAAATTAAAAATCTACTTATTATAGTTTCACGACAAAAATAAATCAAGGAAACTTCTTCTTCTTTTTTGCTAATAAGGATATTCATATAAAGTATTGTATTATTTTTGGACAAAAAAAGGATTATTATATATTGAAAGAATTCTAGTTTTTTTTTTTAAATGCAATTACATCATATTAAACAACCCTCTCTACCTCCTAAGGTAAGGTCTTGTATAATTAGTGTTCCTTAGAAAAAAAGATTACTTTGAGTTTAAATTCAACGATAAGGAATTTATTATTGAAACAAGTTTATATATGAATACCTATCCTTCTTGTGCTCTACTTTGCTTTGCTAATTTACAAGGTAAGGATCCATGTCAAATTCCCCATTACTCCAAGATGGATTTACATTTTAAAAAGAAAAAAGAAAAAAAATGGCAAACATAAAAAATACGACCATATATTAAACACGGATAACAAACAAAAGCATACATTATTAATTAATTTATATGTTGGAGTTCGGTATTGTTTAATTTCTAGTATTAATTTCTAGGAACAAAGCACAAAGGTTCTTTCTTATGCATAGCAAGTCCGGGCAAAACATTTGTTTCAATGTCTTCTCTTTTCATTCCACAAGGTAACTCCCAATCAAAATCGTAAAGAAGATTGGAAAGTACAAGTTCCACAATTGCCACACCGAGTGCCATACCCGGGCACCTTCTTTCTGTCTGCTCTAAATAGAATCAACTTAAAATTTTAGCCCTTAAAATCAATATTACAATTCCGGAAGTTTGAGTGATCATGCTAATGCTAAAGTGGTCCACCGCTTCAGAGAAGCAAATCAGGTAGCGGATCAACAAGCAAAATATTGCGCTACTAAGGGAAAATTAATCTGCCATTATAACTAACATCCAAAACTTACCAAGGGACGCCAAAGGTCACTTTATTGGAAGTTGCCTTTTGGGATGAACATAGAAAATATCGACACTGACATTTTTCCTGGAATTACTACCATAAGAAAATGCTCTTTGCCTTGTCCCTAAAAGTTAATTCTTAGCTAATAAACAATATTATGTGTAACATCCTTTGGAAATAGAAGAGAGAATTATTGAAATAACTACTCCATTACAAGTTTATAGCGAAAAATGAAAGACATAAAGCCATACGACCATATTAAACATGGATAACTAAGGAAAGCATATAACTAATAATTAATTTAAACATTGGAGTTTGGTCTTGTTTAATTTCTAGAGATAATTTCGAGGAACAAGGCACAAAGGTTTTTTCTTATGCATAGCAAGTCCAAGCAAAACATCAGTATCAATGTCTTCTATCTTCATTCCACGAGGCAACTCCCAATCAAAAGCGTAAAGAAGATTGGAAAGTGCAAGTTCCACAGTTGTCACACCAAGTGTTATAGCCGGACACCCTCTTCTTCCTGCTCCAAATGGAATTAACTCAAAATTTTGGCCCTTAAAATCAATATCACTATTCATGAACCTCTCAGGTATAAATTCTTCTGGATTTTCCCATATTTCAGGATCCCTTGCAATAGCCCAAAAATTAACATGAACTATCGTTTTTTCCACTCCTTTTGGCTTTAGGAAGAAGGAAACTTAGAATGATGATGATAACAAGGGCTACAAAGAGTGGAAATAACATCATGTGTTTTTTGGAAAAGTCTTCTATATCTTGTATTAAGATTTTCCACAATTTCTTTCATTTATAGTACTCCCTCGCTTGATTTAGAGGACGAAAGAAATAAATTTTTATCTATAATTATTTTGAAATAAATTTTACATAAAAATACTATAAGTAACAGTAAAAGAAGGTGGAACTTTGGATCAATGGCTATGATAATAATTTAAATCATGATGAAAATACTTATTTAGGAAATAGACAAATAGAAAAAAATTTGTAATTTAAAGGAAGAAAAAGAGATTGCATTTATTTATAAGTGATAGAAAGGGATAAACATCAAGTACACACTTCTGATATTTTGGGAAGTAGTTTGATCCTAATTTCATAGTATGATCATTTAGTTTAAAATTCTAAACTTTGTTTTTTTCTTTTTTGTATGGTGATTTTCATGAAAGTTACACAGGAAAGTTCACAAGCCACAATATTTAAAGCTTGAAAAAATGACTGTTTGTCCTTTATCAATTTTTTCCACATTGTCTAGATAAATGTCTCACCTATAATTATAATTACATAGAATTAGACAAAGGAATTTGATAACGGAATTTCGAAGCTTTAATTTACGTCTAAATTTTTTGTATTCATTCATTGTCTAAAAAAAAGAATTCTAAATTAAATTTTGTATCGAAATAAGAGAGTTGTCAGGTATTAACTGCCCTGAATTTCTTATCATAAATGGATTTTCCTTTGCTTAAAAGAAAAACACAAAGTCTTCATATTTGGCTAGTCCTTTTCTAGTAGGAAAAAATTTATGACTCTATAAATACAGGAACATTCATTCTAACACAATAGCATTCATAATGTAGTCCTAAAGCCTTTGAAAGTATTGTCTAGGGGTGAGAATTTGTGGGACATAAGTGATACGTTATCACTTGTATGAACCTCTTTATATTACGCGTGAATGGGTTAGGTTATTTCTCTTTAAATTTTGTACTTTCATATTAATATAGTAGATTGCTCATCTCCTCTTTGGACATAAGTCGATTCATCGAACCATGTTAAAGATTTGTGTCTTGTGGTATATTTCTAGTTTATATTCTTACTCATGGTGTTTCGAGGTTTGCTTTGGTAGCTTATGCATGACACTTAATTATTTCGGTCCAAACAAAAGTAAAGTAAAAAACTTTATAAGGGATAACACAAGTTGAATCGGTAAGTATGCTTTTTGGCAAAAAGAGACACTGGTTTTTGCACGTATTGCACTTGGTGTTGCAACAATAGAGTTTATAATATACATTTGATTGCAACAATAGAGGTTATAGATTTCATTATTACTATTGCACTGGACAGGAATCGAGAATCCCCTTGTTAATTTAATTCCTAGAGAATTAGTAAATTAACTACCAAATTTCCGCGACATCCTTTGAAACTAGAAGGGAGATTTTATTGAAACAACAACTCCATTACAAGTTTATAACGAAAAATGACAGACAGAAAACCATACGACCATATTATTAAACATGGATATCTAATTTAATTCTAGTGATAATTTCTAGGAACAAGGCATAAAGGTTCTTTTTTATGCATTGTAAGTCCAGGCAAAACATCAGTGTCAATGTCTTCTTTTTTCATTCCACAAGGCAACTCCCAATCAAAAGCGTAAAGAAGATTGGAAAGTACAAGTTCCACAGTTGCCACACCGAGTGCCATAGCCGGGCACCCTCTTCTGCCTGCTCCAAATGGAATCAGCTCAAAATTTTGCCCCTTAATATCAATATCACTAATTCAGAAACCTCTCAGATATAAATTCTTCTAGATTTTCCCATATTTCAGGATCCCTTGCAATAGCCCAAACATTAACATGAACTATAGTTTTTGGTTTAATTTTTTTTTTTTTTTCTTTGAATCAAAGACCACATGGGTCAAGAATTTTATTAAACTAAGAGAAAATATATACAAAATCATGTGGGTTGCCTAAGTGAACCGCCCACCAAAGTTTTTGGTTTAATTTCATATCCTTCTAGTATGGAATTTTGCATTCTCGAATTTCAGCTTGAACTTTCTTCATGGCATTTGGTTTAGATATCAAGGCTGTCATTGCCCAAACTACTGCAGCTGCGCTCGTGTCCGTTCCACCAACTAGCATATTCTACAAGAGGAAGTGTGAGGATAAAATTAAATGCAACATTTCATATTAATTGAAATTTTTTTCCAATCATATCAGAAAATGTTATAACATGTGTAATATTACAAGTTTAAAAAGGCACTTCTTGATATTTGACCAACAAAGTTTCTTTATATTATGATTGTGTCACAAACATGACTAAGGAAAAAACTTAGTTGTATGACAGAGTGTTAATACCAAGTCAATAAATATATATATAACAATACAAAAGACTTGCTTATATACAACTTTCAACATCTAACTAATGATTAATTGATATGAATTTTCACTTTAATTTCTTAATTCATTCGTAAGGTTAACTGTTTAGCTAGGTGTAAGCAGTTGGCTAGAGCAAATATATAAAATAGACATAAAGAGAATAGTTCATTAGTCATTACCATGATAATAGCCTTTATGTTTTCCAAAGTAAGATCGATTGGAGTTGATTTCTCTTTCTTCAATCGAAGGAAAAGATCAATAATATCTCCTTCCATTGATTTTGGCATATTGGGATTGAGATGTTGCTCAATGAGTCCTTCATAAAACTCATCCAAATCCTTAAAATTCTTCTCAAGTTTATTTATTTTTTCGGAGAGTTTATCAATCTATCCTAAGAGGGGAAAATAGTCAGAGACAAAAAAGCCTGCCAACATTTCCTCCGTCACTTTTAAAAGTTCATTAAATCTCCTCCCATTTCCTCCGTCAATTTTAAAAGTTCATTAAATTTCCTCCCTTCGGGTGTTTCTTCATCATACCTAACACCAAAAGCAATTCTACAAATAATTGTAGTTGTAAGTGAAATCACTATATTGCTCAAATTTGTAATTTGTGAAGTGGCGGCTTGCTGGGATATTTTCTTGTTCATTCTTGATACTTCATCTTCCCGAATTGGACTAAAATATTGCACTTTCTTGAGACTAAATAAGTGAACAACACATATTTTTCGAAGTTCTCTCCAATAGTCATTGTAAGGCGACAAGCCAATATCTTGACCATTG